TGCCGGGGTGTCCAGCAGAAGCTGCCCTCACCTGTTCCTGAAGCTCATTTTACAGAGAGAAGGCTGGATGCTGATCTGTGAAGGACCGCTGAAGTCTAACAGTGATTTTCTTTCCCTCGTCACAGGTGTCTGCTCCGACGTTTTCTTTTGTGTTGATTTTAAATTTAAAGTTATTTAAGCACATAACATGCGTGTAGATGTTAGTATTCTTCTTCTTTTTTTTAAATTTTCATCCTATTCTTTTTTTACCTTGATACTGATAGTCTGTTTTCACATTAAGATGTAATTATGTGATGAATTTCAATGTACAAATTCTGATTTTGAGGCAGGGTCCATGTAGCTCCGGCTGACTGTGAACTCAGTATGTAGCAGAAAACGACTTTGAACTCCTGCCTCTGTCTCCCAAATGGTAGAATTACAGATGTAAGCCCCCCACACCTGGCTAAAATTTTTAATAAATGATTTTAAAATAAAGGCCTTATGAACAGTCCTGTTGCAGCAAAGTAGGTGTTCTGTGGGGGGGGGGGTGTAGGGGTGTGCTGCTGCTGCTGCTAGAGTTGTTTGTGTCTTTCTGATAGTGGGTTCGCTCGATGCCGAGATCCTCACACATTCCATTTAGGCTGACACTCTACCATTGAGCTATATCGGAACCCCATAGTAAATAGTTTTAAACTGTATTTAACTGAATGTAGACTACAGATAATGTATTTTCTCATTCCTTTATTATATTACAGCCCCATTTGTGTGTGTGTGTGTGTGTGTGTGTGTGTGTGTGTGTGTGTGCGCGCGCGCGCGTGCGCGCACCCATGTGCATGCCAGGTTGACTCTGGGTATCTTCAGTCACTCTTTGCCTTGGTTTTTTCACCAGTTTGGCGTGCTAAACTGGGCCAGCAAACCCCCGCTCCCCTGTCTCTGTCTCCCTGGCACTGGGATTGAAGATGCACTTTGCTGTATCCAGCTTCTGTAAGTGCTGGGGATCAAACTCAGGTCTGCTCTGCTCACTGAGCCATCTCCCCAGCCCATTGCCAAAATGTTTTTCTAATTTTATTCCAGTGCTTTGACATTAGTCCTACCGAACTGAAACAAATTAGAAGGATAAGGATAAAGTTAGCTTTTTCCTGGGTGTGACTGGGCTTTCTTTCATTCTGTCCTTTTCACCTTCCTTGGCTTTATGGAGTATATGAAAATAATTTTGATAGATTACCTAGATGAAATTGATTGGAGCTCTGAGTTGTTGAGGGTTCTGTAGCCCAGCAGAATAATCCCTTAGGTTATTGCCCGTCTTTAGGAAATTGGATCATCAGCCAGAGTTGGTCTGGGGAACAATGCACCTGTGGTTCACGGTCAGAGGCCATGTGTGTGAGAAAGGGAAGGAAGGACAGTTGGAAACAATGTCCTTGACCTTTTCTGCTTCCTTCTCTCTTCACTGTACACTATAGGCAGGGGCAGGGGCGGGGGGCAGGATTAGATTTTTCTAGTTCCCCTATGTTCCTGGGATTTCATAGCCTTAGGAAGGGCCGTTTTGAACTCAGCCTGCTGGTGTGGCGGTAGAGGAGGGCTGCCTTTGCACATCTGCATAGGAAGACCAGAGACATCTGCACCCAAAGCAGCGTGCAGAGGCAGCAGCTCCACTGTGAGCTCTCTGCTCCCCACTTTGGCAACAGAGAGTAGCTGTCGCTGTGTCTTCATTCAGTCTCTGATAACTGGTGATAAATTGTTCAAAATGCTATTGATAGCGTTTCTGTCTGACATGATGGGATCACCGAGGGTAGGTCTTGTAGAGAGAGTGGGTAGACAGGGAGGAACTGGGGATTATCCCGGGAAAGGGAATGGGAGGCAGAAGGAGAGAAAATATTGGAGACCTAGAGGTCTCCATTGTTGCTTAGAGTTCAAATTGAGCAAGCTCCTCGTGCTGGTTTGGTTTTGTTTCCAACCTGACCCAAGCCTAGACAGATCTGGGAAGAGGGGATCTTAATTGAGAAAACGCCTCTGTGAGATCGGCCTGTAGGCAGGTCTGTCAGCTATCTTCTTGTTTAATTATTGATGCAGAATGGCCCAGTCCCCTGGGCAGTGCCCCCCTGTGCAGGTGGTCCTGGGTGGTATAAGGAAGCAGGCTGGAGAAGGCCCGAGGGAGGAGCAAGTCTGTAAGCATCAGTGCTCTGACTTCTGCTTCAGTCTGCCTCCAGGGTCCTGCTTCAGCCCCTGCCCTGACTTCCTCAGTGATGGACTGTTACCTGAAAGCAGAAGGTGGAATCAACCTTTCTTCCCCAAGTTGACCTTGGTCATGGTGTTTATTTGAGCAATAGAAGCCATAACTAAGACAG